GTTCGTGAGGCAATTGTGACGTGTCTCTGCCGAGTCGCACCATGCGGAAATCGTGCTGCTCAATTCGGTAGCCTCGTCGTGATTGGCTGCAAGGAGCTGGGATGCCAGAGTTGACAAGCCCTTCACGCTCTGCTCGAGGGTTCTCTTGCGGATCTTGTTGCCCCAAATGCCCAAGTCGGTGAAAGTCTCCTGGTGCTTCTTGAATGAGTCCTGAGCTTTCTGCATGAGCTCAGAAACCTTCTTGCTGGGCGTCGATGGCGGGAGCAGCGAAGGAGCCCCTGACGGCTTGAAACTGCTCGGCAAACCAGGATTCGGGTTGGGCATTCCGAAGCTTGGCACGGGCGGCACGTCCCCTAGATGTGACTTTCCAGGCTGACCCAGCCTGCGACGCTTTGCCTTGGCTTCGGCTGCGCGAGCACCTTTGGTCGGCAGGTCTTCGGCCGCATGGGCAGAATCAAACACCCCGAAACTCATCCCACGGCGATCATCCGGGCGACTTGCCGAAGCCTCACCGGCATCAACACTAGAGTCGGGCTCCGACGGTTCCGGCAAAGGTTGCAACCTGGAAGGATGGATGTCCGCAGAACCTTGCATAAGCAGCGAGTGGCTTCCCAACGCAGCCGCAAAATTTGCTTCGCACAAATCAGCATTACCGGCAGCATCTGCATCCTCCTTCAGTATTGCGAAGCACTGAAGCACTGCTTAATCAAAAGTCCATACAGCCTAGCAGCCTATCAGCCCAAATCAACCCACACGCACGCACACCGACACACACAGTGTCACTCACACACGTGGCCCATGGCCGCTGACAGCACAGGCCCAGCGCCTATAGCCTATAGCCGCTAGCTAGCCTACAGCCGCTACTACAGCTTATCTAAAATAGTGTACAGTAGCAATGAGCAACAACTGGCAACTGAAAACTAACGTAAAGGCAGAAACTATGAGGGACGGCCTAAAGGATCGCAGACTACTGGACACTGAACTTGACAACTTGGTGCAAGGCGGTGGTTTCAAGCGGAAGTCCTGGCGCTTCGCCGTTCCACTCTTCACGCCAATATGCAGTTTCTTGCGTCCGTCTGCATAAAGGTTTTGAATGACTCCGGGCTGGCCATCATCCCAACTGATTCGCTTCGCACCAACTTTCAATGCGAATTCAATCTTTTTCTCTTGTGTTTTCAATTGCGCGGGATTGCCACCTGCTTCCGCGATGAAAACATCGAGAGGAAGCCACCAAGCTTCAGCAAACTTGTCTGCATACCTCGAACTAAAACAATGACAATAGCTTTCACAATGACAATGACAAGAGTTGGCTAGGCAAAGGCATCACCTCACCGATGGCAATAAATTAGAATAATATAGTATAAGAAATCTAGACTATCTAGATACCATGGATCCTGGATATCCTAGATTAGATATCTGAGATCTGATATGATATCACTGATATCACTGATATCACTGATATCACTGATATTAATCAGATATCTGATATCTGAGATCTGGATATGATGATGACAAACACTGAGCTGATCTGATATCACTGAGCTGAGGCAATATCTTTTCACTCACCGACACACAACTTTTAAATAACTATCCCGGACTATCCCGACTATCCTAGACTATCCCTTTGTCTCGAGATAAGTTTCGACATCTGCTCTTGGTAGGCCGACACATCGAAACCTTCCTTGGGCATTCGTGCACCTGGTCGGGAAGCCACGCACCGGTGCTCCTGGAACTTTTCATCGATGTCCTGATCGGACCCGGCAAGCAATTCAAACCAGAGCTGCAATGGCACAGAAGTTCAAGCGTCGTGCACCCAAGCGGCCGGGTGCTCGGTGCGTAGCTTCTTGAGATCTTGCAATTTGATTCTCCCGAACTTCGTGGCTCGGGTCTTCTGGCAGGGGATTATGGATGAATGGTTTTGTTTTGGTGGTTCAATAGTCAATAGTCAATAGTCTAGTGTGTCTAGTCAGTTTAGTTATGAGACATGAGTCATGATGAGTCATAAGTTCAGACACTGCAAGTCTCATAATGGAAGTAGGTTGAAGTGAGTTATTATTTATTGAGTTATTTATTATTCTAAATTTAGAAAACAATAAGTTACAAGTTGTAAGTAGCGGACTCTAGCTTGACGGCTTGCCTCACAAGGCAAGCACTCGTTACCTTCAGCAACCATCTCGCCATTCTCGAGGCGTCTGAACCTGGCCGATCGAACCTGCACTGCTTCGTCGGGATCACAGTAGCGATCAAGCTGGCCAAAGAACTGGTCACACTGCTCGCATCGCCCGCCACTCGACGACGCACTCGCCATCGAGGCAAGGGCGTGCTCACTTGCACTACGTGGTTCTGATTTGCAGCTTCCGAGAGCAAGCTGCGCGAAGGTCTCACATCAGATCTGATATGATATGATGGCAAGTGCAATGGACCCGGCAAACACAGTTGAAACAACTGTTGCAGAGGAAACAATTCGGATTCGGACTCCTAGGACTCCTAAGGCACAGAGCAATCCACTCCACCACGTTCCCTTTACCCCCAAGCAGAAGTCTGGACCTTCTAAGCTAAGATAACAACTTCAAGTGACGGGAACCCGCCTCAATTTAGGATGCGCAACAACAAAAACAACAGCAGCAACGTTAGAGCCGAAAATGAAATGTTTCGGCTCTAACGCCCCAACCCTCTCAGGTCTCAGGGCCTGCCCCACCCCACCCACCCCACACCCCAACCCCAGCCCAGCCCAGCCCAGCCCAGCCCAGCCCAGCCCCACCCCCCCCACCCCACCCCACCCCACCCCACCCGTACCCCACCCCCACGCGGGGAACCCCACAGAAACCTTACGGGAACCTGCACGGAAACCCCACGCAAAACCCCACGAGAACGCCACGGGAAATCCACGGCAACCCCCACGGGAACCCCACGGGAACC